CTGCTTCACCTCAATCTGGACAGAGCAGTACAGAGCCCAGAGCTGGGCACAGGGGCCCACCCATAATCCCAGCACCTGGCAGGCAGAGGCAGAAGGATCACCATGCGGTCTAGACCAACCTAGGATAGTGAGTTCAGGCCAGACTGGACACTGCATAAGCAAGATCCTGTCTCAAAAAAAAAAAAAAAAAAAAAAAAAAAAAAAGAGAGAGAGAAGGAGAGACAGAGATAGAGACAAACAGATGGAGACACAGAGAGAGACAAAAAGAGAGACAGAGAGAGACAAAGTAAGAAAAGAAGGAAGGAAGGAAGGAAGGAAGGAAGGAAGGAAGGAAGGAAGGAAGGCAGGCAGGCAGGCAGGCAGGCAGGCAGGCAGGCAGGCAGCAGGCAGACACACAGACAGACAGACAGACAACCCAGACCATCTGGACACTGCTAGATGCTACTGACCAGGCTTGGCAGCCAGTGGTGAAGACGTGGAGCCTTGGTGAATGACACTGGGAGTCTGTGTGGCTGCCAGCACAGGTAGGCAAAGGCCGACAACCCAGAGGCGCTCCTGTGAGGTCCCCCACTTCCAACACAGCCCAGCCAGCCCTTCTTCTGCAAGACTGGCCGCCTTCCATGCATCTGCAAGTCACTGTTGCCAGGACTCTGTCCTTCCGGAGTGAATAAGCTGCTCCCCAGACCAAGAAGGGGAAACAGGTCCAACTACAGCCCTCGCAACACCAGCGGAGCTCAGTCCAGCATCTGAGGTCTTTCTGAAGAAGCCGGCATGAGCTGAGCCTGACAACTGGTATTCGTAGGCCTAGGACTTAGGAAAGAATATAAAGCTCATCAAAGCCCATGCAGCCCTTGGGGTGAGGACTATGGATAAAGCCACAGATGTCGCGGAAGTAAACAGGCAGAGTACAACCCCGAAGAACACCTCCTCCTGCTTCCACACCCCTATGCTGCTCAGCTGTTAGGCTGCTCACAGCTGCAAGCGTCCTATGTTGTAACTGCACAGGGGAACCAGACACCCCCATGCTGTTCAAGTCAGCATTTTGTTTCCGGCGCCCCTACCTTCCAGCTAGAGTAGCACCCCTGGGGCACAACTTTTCAGTCCAAGCACAAGATGGCTTCTTTTCTATCCAGAAGAGATGAGAGGCAGTAATTCAAATTTTTAAAAATTAATTAATTAATTTGATACAGAGTCTTGCTATGCAGCTCAGACTCCTAGTGATCCTCTTGTCTCAGCCTCCCCAGTGCTGGGATTACACGCATGTGCCATCATACCTAGTCTTGGTGGCCAGCATGGCACTCCCAGGGTTCAGGGTCTGGCACAGCATGTGGTATCAGGGATCGAACCCGGGTCCTTACGCTTGCCAGGCAGGCGCATAGACCACCAAGCTATCCCCCCAGCCCTAGTTTTCCTACTGCTTCTTCTTCCTTTACTAAGGACTTGACTGAGTAAGGGGCAGGGGAAACCATGCCAAGCAGGATGGGTAAGGGGAAGCCAGAGAGCCTGTGGTGTCCAGCACTGCATCCTTCTGTAAGGCCACTGCCTGGGCGCCGGGATCACTTGAGCAGAAGATGAACATAGACTGTGGGGTGATTTTAAAAAAATAACCATTTTCTCCCTGACCCCAAAGGAAGTGGCTCCAGAAGGTAGGAATCAATCCTGAATTAAGTTTAGGTGTTATTTACTTTAAAAAAAAAAAAAAAAAAACCTCTATGTGTGTATATGTGTGTATTACTAAACTGAAAAACCATCTGAGGTTTCATGTGTAGTCACCAGAAAATAAGCCAGGAGATAAGACCTTTGGCCTCCGCAGGGAGGCGTGCACCCAGCCACATATCTCAGCACATCTTTGCTTTGTTCCGTGCTGATGAAATGCTTCCTGACCACATCCAGGTGAGGCTCTCTCTCACTGTGTCTAGCTCCAAATCATGTTCCAGTTGCCTGCCTTGCCACCCGGCCCCCATACGCATTCTGAGCACAAGTGTACTGAATCTTCTCTGCAGACCAGTATAATAAAGGACTGATGGACAAAAAAAAAAGATACTAAGGACACATAAAGCCTTTTGTATTCACTTTTCTAAGAGGGAGAATTTAATTGATAGAACATAAAACATAAGATGAAATATAAAATGTAAGATCTACAATGTGCCTTCAATACAGATTTTATATCAAAACCTCAGACTATCCACAAGGTGGCGCTTGTTTACAGCAAAAGGATTTCCTAAATTCATGCACTACACCTTTATAACTGATACCTTTAGTTTTAAGACAAAAATCATTCAAATAAAGGTAATGAAAACAACAAACTATACTTTGTAAGTTTCTCTAATATGTTGGAAAATGTACATAAGTATTTTGGTTGAAGAATTTTATTTGAGCAATAGTGATTAGAAGTCTGTTCATAAAAATTAGGTAATTCAATATTCTGTCTTTGTACTAAGACACCCTCATGATGGGGCTTCAACCTGCTTTGAAAAGCTTACTGCTGATTCGGAGACTTTCTGGTCCCTTGGAAAAAGCCAAGAGCTCCCTGTTCTCCACATAAAGGCAACACCTTTTTAAGTCATCTTGTATTCTCAGCTCCTTTAAGTCTCCACTGGAGTGTGAAAATCCTACTTGTTCTTCAAGATCCGACTCTTAACTCCACTTCCTATACAAAAAGTACAGGGCCTTTGCTCAGCCAGGCACCAGCTGGGATCCCATCCTCAGGATTCTAAACTGCCACCATTGTCTGGTACACTAAGCCCATGGCTCTAGGGCCACCTGACTTCCTATCTTGGTGCCTACCTTGCTGGCAAAATGAGCTCGGGAAAACTAAAATTCCATGTGCCTGAGAGTTCTCATCTCTACAGACATCTACCTCAAAAGACTGCCATAGGCCATAAGAAAAGATGCATGTGTATTCTAACCATTTTGGAACATAAGTAAGAATGATGGATTAAATACTTCAGCTAGGTACCTGAGTTGGAACGTAAGGGCTGGCATCTAGCATACTACCCCACTCACTTGTAGAAGTAAAAAAGACTGAGGTGAAATTCAATTAACCCCTGCCTGAAGTATTTACGAAGAAGCAGCCTTGCCTAAATTTCCCCATTCCTCACTCCTTCCCCTGCCCTGTGTGAACCTTCACAAACACACAGGAGATAAGGAGGAGACAGGACACATTTAGGGCAATAAGGTACAGACTATTTGCCCACGCTTAGCCAGAAGTCCCTCTGCCCGAGACCTCGCACCTACAGGATGTAGGGGCATCACATTCCTGCCCTGACCGTGCACCTATAGGATATAGGGGGCACCACATTCCTGCCCTGTTGCCATAGCAACAAAGAAACTATAAAAGCAGGTAGGAAACAAAGAACTGGGCCTTTTGTGTCTTCCCAGATGGGGTGGGGAGCACATGGGTCACCAGGTAACTAATAAATGTTCTGTAATTCCTTTTATTTTGGTCTCCTGTGGGCAATATATTACATCCAGACCATTACAGGAAAAGAAGAAATGATCCAAATAGAATCATTAAGTTGCAGCAGAAAAAATGCTAAGTTTACAGTGGACAGAGGATGTTATTGTGGACATGAAACTATTCGGTGGTGATACCTTAGTTGACTGAAGGAGCGTCTCAAATAATTCTTCACATGAAAAAAGCTTTCCTCATTTCATACCCTACAAGCAAGCTCCTTTTTCTTTTGGCTTTCGTCTTCATTAATATGATTCTGGCATTTCAAAGCTCTGAGATTCATAGTTCTGCCCGTTAGTTTTTCTCATTATGTTTAAATTAATTAAATACATAATTTAACAAAATGTAAAGATAAGTTCTATGTACTTACATCACCTTAAAATATGGCTAACTATTTGAAAAAGCAGAACACAATTTTTTGATAGCTTCTAACTCTTGAGAGGGAAGCAGTTTCAGGAATTAAAATATAATGAAACATGAAGGTCATTACAGGTTAAAAGAAAAGCCAAATTAATTATTAAAACTTACTTTTACAACCAGTGCTCTTTCAAGTGTGATGAAGAGAGTAGACTCCATTCCATTGAGCTTTATTAATGAAGCTGGGCTTGTCCACAGTGAAGCAAGTGTTTTTCATAATGCATGCATGACCAAAGAGGAAACACGAACTAAAATAGCAGTACCAAAAGACACAAGTTCTCTGAAAGAATGAATAGGGCTGATGCCAGTGCTCAGATACAGGGTCTATTTGGCTATTCCACTGCTAAATATATGAGTGGAGAAAGAACAGGCCAAAGGGACATACTAGGTTGTGGTAAAATTAATGCCAAGACCGTAGTGGGCACAGGATATTAAAGGACACTGTGTTTATGACATCTAATTTCACTGAAATAAATCTTCATATAAAACATATATCATTAACACACAATTTCATATTCATTTGGGGATTTTCTGCATTTGCTTCAAAAGGAGTGACTGAGAAAGTACGGCTCTAGGGTCTGCTATAGGAACCTAGTAAGTCACTGGCATATCTGCACTCAGCACTGTCTTAAAAACAAATAGACAACTGCTACCTATCTTCATGGCATTTATATACTGAGATAGCCTATATAAATGATGAGAATAATGCTTGGCATGTTTAATAGGGTTAAAAAAATGAAGCTATTATTGCTGCTCTGCTGTTGTTCATTTTATTTAAAAAATTCTACTTCACAGTGGCTCCAACTTTTGCTCGTAGGATTGACACACTGCCTACTATATAAAAGGTCTTACACTGGCATTTCAACTATGTTATCTGTCCTTCTTATCACCTTCCCTACTTCATACCCTTAAAAATAAAGACGGTAATATGGCAGATGAGAAAATTGAATGGAAGAGAATTTACTCAATCCTGAAGTCTTTTCTAGGCCTAATATTCTGGTCACCTCTCTAAGCTAAGAACCAGATGAATCAAGGGTGTGAACCAGATGAACAGATTTCATTGTTGCAGTGGGATTACGAGTTTAGGTGTAGCTAACTGGTCAGATGAAAGCCTCAATTTACAAGAGTAAAGTGAATGACGTAGCTGATTTGGCAGAGGAATCAAAGAGTTGCATTTTCTTAGTCTTTGATACCTACTAGTCACCCATGTAGTTATCAAATGGGCAGAAAAATAAAAATCCAGTGAATAAATTGTAAATCTTTGTGTCCAAAAACCCCTGCCTAACTTGTTCCATGTGTTTTTGTACAGTCTATGAAATAAGCATTGCTTAAATATTCTTTACTTGTGTTTTTAAATTTTAATAAATATACTCCATTTTCAGAGCAGTTTTGGGTTTACAGCAAAACACAGGCAGGAGTACAGGTGGGTCTCCTGCCCCATGTGTTTGTTTCCTCTCCACAGCAACAGAAGGGAGCATTTGTTCTCATTGGGGAGCCTACATTAATTAATCTACCATTTTCTCTCAAAGTGCACCGTTTACATTAGGGCTGATGCTTGGTGTTGTTCATTCTATGGGTTTTGACAGATGTACAGTAAAATGTATTCACCATTGCAATATACAGAATAGTTCAATGTTTTAATGATCCCCTGTGCTTGGACTATTCATTCCTCCTTCCCCTCTAACTGCTGGTAGCAACTGAATTTGTTTTTTAAGGTAGGATCTTGCTATGTGTTCAGACTTGCCTTGAACTCATAATGGATACCAGGCTGGTCTTGAACTCTTAGCAATTCTCCTGCCTCAGCCTCCCAAATGCTGTGATTCCAGGTGTGAACCACCACATATGGCTTGACTTTTTTACTATCTAGCCTTTCAAGGTCAGTGAAGACTCAGGACATAGGAGAACCTGTACTGTAACATCATGTAACTCAGTTGTATCCCAAATTTTCTGATCAAGGAGATTATGGGACCACAGAGCAATGAGATCGATGATGTAGAGTGTGCCTAAGGAGAGTCACATGGAGAGAAAACATTCTCTCAGGCTTTCACAGAGAGCACATTGGCCAAGCAATGGCCATGACTCATCCACATGGCTGACACTGACAAAGGACCTGCAAACTGCGGTATAGGGTTACAGGATAAATCCTGAGGGTACTTGACTGACCTTATCAGATACAACAGTTACATTTCTTGATATATAGGTCTTGCTTTATCTTGTTCTTAACCATCCAGCAGAAAAGTATAAAAATGAGGTATAAAAAGTAAAGCCATATTAATATGCTGAGCTGTGAAACACTCAACAACTTCTGACATTGCCAGCCCCCCAACTTCTTAAAAAAATACAGTGGTGTACTGATCTCATGTTTCTAATCGCAGTTTGAACCACTATGAAAAAGTATTCAGTATGTATTTTTTCCTCCATCAACACACCTTAATATCAACACACCTAGTAGGTACTCCTTAAATGTTTGCTAGATTAATAAATCTCACTTTGAGAATATAAAAGATATTTTTATGAAACATACAAAACAAATAAAATATTCACAAATTAACAGCATATTCTACAATCCATTCAAATTATTTCTTCATTTGAATGTCCCCACCATTATTATATTCAAATGGGATAGCTACCTTTCATATAAATTTTATGAAAGTTCTATTTGGCCAACTGTTTATTGGGATATTAATCACAAGACTGTATATATTTGCTATCAGTTTACTGTCTTCAAAATTTTTTCACTTAGAATTGTAAAGCACCAATATTTCTACCGTCTTGTACAAATACTAAATGCTTCCAGCAGAGGGCTCACGAATCCCACGTACAGAAAAGAGGCACTTTAAGAAGCACATTCACTACCAGCAGTTACTGTAAAGCCCTCAGCAGTCATTTCCTTAAAAATGTGTGCCTCCTCCGGTCAGGTCATTCTGGGTATCTTCATTATTTAAAAATAAGTCACATGGAACAAAAACCTAAATTACAAGAAGGCAACACTATTTTATAGTCTATATAGGTAAATGTACTTTTATCTAATTTCAGAAAAGGAAGGAAACTATACTAAAACAAAAACTTGGTAAAATTTCATGGCCTATAGACAAAGTCCAGAAGAAAGCAGAAAGATAACAATGTAACTGATGAAAATTTGAGTGAAACTATTTTTCACCTGTTTCTTAGAGTTAAATAAATGTTTGGTCATTTTTTCCTGTTTTCAAAACCAAGAAAGAATAACTTACTTTAGAGTGCGCATGCTACTTATTTTTCATGCTGAGATAAGAATGGAAAAATTTTGAGATAAGTGGAATGTTTTATTGATGGAATACACTTGAAATTTTCATAGGCAGAACTAATATAGTGTAGCACCACTCATTAATATCTATAACTAACGAAAAGGTCACTCTGAGACTGCCCAACTTAGCAACACAGTAAAAGTAAATAGAAATCAAAAGACAATGAAGTCAGAAGAGCACATAAGAGAGAGAGAGAGAGAGAGAGAGAGAGAGAGAGAGAGAGAGAGAGTGTGTGTGTGAGTGTGAATGCAATCTCCACTTTCATAACCATTACAAGGGCCACAACACTAGAGAAGAAATACAATCTCATATAAGATTGAATGATAAGGGGCTCAGTAGATAGCTCAGTGGTCTAAGCACCTGCCTGGCAAGTGCAAGGACTGGGGTTCTAGCCTCAGTACTGCATGTCAAGTCGCCCTGGCAGAGCCGGCCACTGAAACTGGGCGTGATGGTGCAAGCCTGTAATCCTAGTGCTGGGGAGACTGAAGCAGGATGATCACTAGGAGTCTGAACTGCATAGTGAGACTATGTATGAAAAAAAAATATTGAATGATAAAAACATCAAGAACAATTTTTGTTTTTCCAGACCCTGACGCCTAACAAAAAACTTCCTACACACATTAAGAGAAGCTTCGAATGATTTGCTTGATGATACTGTCAAAACTATCAAAAGCATATTTTATAGAACACCACATAAAAAGTAAAGGTTCATAAAGAAATTATTTATAAGCCAGACTTTCAGTTTTCTGGCTTGATCTAGGTATACAGTTTAGAAAGCCTGATCAGTGTTTTCTAAAGGAGTCAGCACCACTTTCTAGGGGACAAATTGTAAACTTAAGTGGATCTTTTTAGTCATTTTGGAAGGATGGTCCAAATGGCATTTACTAGGCAAGTGACCAGGGATACCAGATGATACACAGAGCAGCCACCACACAAAGAAGTACCAACCCTACAGCATGCACACTGAAACACCCCACTGTATATTCCTGTTAGTAAGAAATTTGCACATAAAGATCAAAACCCAAAGCAGAGAGCAAGATAAGATGGCAGGAAGGTAAGATGCCCGAAGCGCAGGCTCTCCGGGACCTGGAATCAAGGAAGACAATGATTTAATGAAGAGAAAGAAAAAGGTGAATCTCTGAAAATTGGCTGCAAGTTGATAAGAATACTAGAAGAAAACAAATACATTTCCATTTCCAGTAGACCACACGCCATGCTGGCCCTGCCCCCGGGCACACTGAGCTGGCTGCCAAGACCCGGTGTGGTGGCACATGCCAATGATCCCAGCACTGGGGAAGCTGAAACAGGAGGATCACTATGAGTCTGAGCTGTGTAGTGAGACTCTGTACCAAATACATAAAAAAAGAAAACAAATTCAAACCCAGACCCTGTACCAAATACATAAAAAAAACAAATTCAAACCCAGACCCTGCAAGATAATATTTGAAAGCTGATAGAGAAATAAGATATTCCATGACAAAGAGAACCTTAAGAAATACATAACTGCCAAATCAGCACTCCACAAAAGTCTCAAAGATTTTCTAGAGAGAGATAAGGAAGGCAACAATGTCAAGAAGACTAAAAAAATGAATATACCAAACAGGACGAGTAGTTAAGCAGAAAAGGAAAGAGGGACCAGCAACAGAAAACTAACACCATGATATGAATTAATCAGAACTCTTCAAGTAAAAACTGCATATATTAATTAAAGGAGCCCTGGCGTGATTCCGTCCTGCGTGTCTGTTCTGAGGAGCAGTAGTCATTCACTTCCGTCCGCATTCTCTCCCACCTAAGTGCGCGCCACCACTCCATGGAAGATTCGATGGATATGGACATGAGCCCCCTGAGGCCCCAGAATTATCTCTTCGGTTGTGAACTAAAGGCCGACAAAGATTACCACTTTAAGGTGGATAACGATGA